ATCAAGTTATCATAAAATTAACCAAGCTATTAAAAGTAATCAAGGTATTAATAAAATCTCTGTGAGGATTTCCTGAAAGAGGGACAAAAGAAGGAATTCTTTGTCCTTTCTCTCCTGGATGTATCAGTATGCCAAACGTTTTCCAGAACATATTCGCTAACACTCCAGTCTGTTCTTTCTGAAAGGCTGAGGCTCATGCCCTCTTGGCATGCTTTAGGATTATGGCAAGGAGGTAAAAGTCCATTTTTTCATTCAACTAACACTGGTTGAGAATAGACCAAATGCTAAGTGACAGGAATGAATAGAAGCATGGCATCTGCCCTTGGGGGCTACAGTCCATGGCTGAGCAGCAACGGAGCCTGGTAAATGCAGATAAAACAACAAACTTGACAAGACTCCAGGCTGATGCACTCAGTTTTAACATACATATAAAGATCAATTGAAACTAGTTTTTTAAAAATATGCTTTACATAAATTACATATCGTAATCATAGCCAATGTATACCATTAAATTAAATAACTGCAATTTTCTAGATATTTTTTATTCTTCTGTAGTCATTGTTTAGAACTCCAGTTTCCTGAGGTCATTTTATCATATTAATGTCATGCTTGACAATGCTGTGTTTTCTCTTCCCTAGAGTTAACCATAAAGATACAGTGCCTACTCTGTGAAATACATCATTGGGAATTAATTATAAACTAATTATCAGTCATCTTTTGAAAACAAAGTTTTGAATTGGCTATAGGACTCAACAGATCTGCCTGGTTTAAATACAATCTGTTAAGCTTGATATACATCTAGAGAGATGAGATCGGGTTGTACTCATTAAATATGAGAATAGTGAAATAGGAGTGCAAAATAGCAAACTCTTAATGCAGGTGAAAGAGCTTCCTTTTATTAGTGAGGTTTAAGTATTAAAGTAACAATAGCCTGGTGGCAGATGAATTCAATTTCTATAGGATGGGAATGGAAAATGTATGCTTTGGTTAACACCATTGCTATTGATTTTGTGCAGATTCTATGAACCACTCTCATTTCAGGAGCCATTTTTTCCGAATAGTATATTTGTATATTTTAAGCTTAACTCTCTTTATTTTTCTAAAGTTGATAGATCACCTCCCTAGAAACCTTACTTTAAAAAAAGAAAATCACTAAGATAGAAAAAGTTTTTTCAGGTACATAGACATATTCGTCCTCGGGTTTACCAACTTCTGTAAAACAGTCCCAGATTTCACAATGCAGTTTTCAAATATCATCAATCACTAGAATGACAATATTATTATTTTCCTAACAGGTTTCTAAACGATGTATTTGTGGGACCACATTAAAAGTAAGATCACCTAATAATTATCTTAGAAACTTTGCCCCTTGAAGGGAGTCCAAGGAAGACCTACACTTCATTGAATTCTGAATAGCAAAAGCTCTCTGAGTGAGATTTCATTGTGTGGATTTGTGGTTTGGAGCCAATTACTTTATTTTTTTCAAATTTTATTCTACTTATTTATTGGTACTCTGCTTCATTTCCAAAGGATTTGAGGCAGTTACTAAAATATATATAATACAAAACAAAAATTAAGTGAGGAACTCAGGGCAAATAAAAATAGAAACAGAAAGGATAAGACAAAACTAGATGTATATTTAGTGCATAAATGCAGAGCCCTGATATGCTTTACTAAATTTGCCGATGAGGGGCACCATGAAAAATAATAGAATCGCTGGCAATGACAAGAACAAGCACTTCTGCATGATAAGAACAAATTTTTCCTCATGCGGGCAAAGGTTTGAAATAGCATAGGTCATTAAAATCCGCAGATAAGCTTCAAACCTAGATTTTGCTAGCTACATGTGCCTGGCATATAGTGTCTATTTAAGAAATACCTGATGATTGACAGAATGAATGAATTGGAGGAAAATGAAATATTTATTCAACAATTATCTGTGGAGTGCCTATTAGGTACTGTGGCAGATACTGATACCGTAAGTCAGATAAAAATCCAGCTCTTAAGAAATAGAGGAAATAGAGTTCGGTGTGGTGGCATGTGCCTATGATCCCAGATAGTTGAGAGACTGAGGGAGGAGGATCATTTGAGTCCAGGGGTTCAAGGCTGCAGTGAGCTACGATCACGCCACTGTACTCCAGCCTGGGTAACAGAAGAATACCCTGTCTCTTAAAAAGAAAAATGAAATAGGGGAAATGGGATATATAAATAAAGAACAATAGTGAAAGTGTCAGGTGAGATGAGGGAGTTGTAATGTGCTGTGGCGGTTCAAATATGAAGAAAGTCTTTTTCCTCTGGAAAGGTCATAAAGAATGTCACACGTGTGTTGGAACTTATGAAATGGGCATAATTTTATCAAGTAGAAATGAGAGAAAGGCATGCCAGGCAAAGGATCAGTATGAGTAAGGTCTACTAGCTTGCTGTCTTCTGACTAAGAATTTGTGCTGTGCCTCCATCAAGTGAAAGCAAGGAGCGAGTTTGCCTGGAGCACATGATTTATGCATGACAATAAGAAATAATGCTAGGAAGGCAGGTGAGGGCTCACTCACAGAGAGACTTGAATGTCACACTGAGCTGGCTGGCTTTCCTCGGGTGAGAGAGTGGGAAATAATTGGGGAACTGACGAAAGTGTGAATCCAGGAAGGCTGAACTTTAAGAAAGCTGAGACAGTGGCTTCCTTGCCTATGCAAGGAACTAACAAGCCACATATACACTCCAAGTTGATTTAACAAATCAAAGGGGAAAATAGCTGTACTTTGAGTCCTGTGTCTGCGTTCATCATTAACCTAAGAGAAATATAGTCATTTAATACATGGACAGGCAACACAATTTAACAGCCACTTTAAAGTTTTCAACAATAGGTTTCAACAACCAAACCTAACAACTCGTTATATCCAGCTAATCTAAACAGTAAAACCTCAGCTCCAGGTTTTACTGAGCTTGAGTTCTACATTTTTTTTTTTTTTTTTTTTTTTTTGAGACAGAGTCTAACTCTGTCGCCCAGGCTAGAGTGCAGTGGCATGATCTTGGCTCACTGCAACCTCTACCTCCTGGGTTCAAGCGATTCTCCTGCCTCAGTCTCCCGAGTAGCTGGGATTATAGGCATGTGCCAGTTCTACTTCTTAGTAACAAACTAGTAGCTATACAAATGCCTACATAATGGTCATGATAAATCTGTTTAAATAAATGGCGGGCAGAAGGGAGTTGTTGAATTTAACAATCCATCCTTCTTCAGAATCTATGGGTCAGCCGGAATATGAATCTAGTAATTATTAGAAAACAAAACACAAACTCCTTCAAAGAAATCTCTCTTCTCTATTCTGCTGAAAAGGGTTGGTAAACCTAACATCCTTTCTTTTGTTGGAAGACAAATCCAACATTTGTTAGACATCCAACATTTGTTGGAAGTCTATCTTACAAGGAACCACCTCTTATCTGCAACATAAACAGAAGCTACATCAGGTCGAAAATCCACATAGAGGACTGGAGAAAATTGCTGTCCGCTTTCGCACTAGGTTTTACCAGGGGCCCAAGATGTCAGAGGAAAGTCCACGGAGGGCCAGCCGCAGGTTTACCTAATTATGAATCTCAGATTAGAATGTCTTATTGTGTGGAAAAGTCAGAAATCAGAAAATGTGTCTGAAGCCAGTGCGGGGGTCTGCTTAAGGAGTCTATGCAGCAGGTAGGGGTCCACTCTTGGGGTTTAAGCCTCAGGTCAGTGAGCAGTGCAGAGGTGCCCCGAACTTCCTATGGGGGGAGAGAGGAGAGCAAAGGAAACACACTCCAGAGGTTGCCACAGGGGCTGTGTGCCGGCGCTCCATTTTCATGCTGTTTGGAACAAGACGTGCCAAGGAAGATGTTTCTATCCAAAGTTTTCACAGAGGCTCTGCTTCCCCTGTACCTGTGCAGCTCCCTGAAACTGAGGACCCATGTGTCTGCAAAGACCTCTAGAGATCCTAAGAGAGGCACCAGCAGGTAACCAGTGGTGGCCTGGCCATGAAAGAGTATTTGAAATTAAACAGAGGGCAAGTGCAGAAACAGCATCCCAAACCGCAGACCCCACCACAAGCAGGAACCAGAAAGCTGAAGTTTCACCAAGGAGTTTAATTTGTATTTCTCACTGGGAATGGGGATGGGTAGCAAAAAGCCCCTTTCGTGTGCATAATTGTTGGTTCTATGTCCTACTTTTATTTTCTCTAAGACTTTTAGAAGAAAGGCTGTTTTAATTTTTTTTCTCTCCTCAAGAGCAACTTCCTTTTTAAAATGCTTTCCTCTTCTTGCTCTGCTTGAGTAATGCATGCATCATTCTGAAATACCTAGGCAGTCGCCTTTTGCCAAAATTACTTCTCTAAGAAAATAGAGTGTTCTTTTTTTAGGACTTAGAGCCCACAAGGGGTGAGTGGAAGTTTTGTAGCCCATCAAAGGAGAATATGTGTTCTGCATTATCAACTAAAACAGTGTATAAAATCATTAAACTGGGCTGGGCATGGTGGTTCATGCCTGTAATCCCAGCACTTTGGGAGGCCAAGGCGGGTGGATCACCTGAGGTTGGGAGTTCAAGACCAGTCTGACCAACATGGAGAAACCCCATCTCTACTAAAAATAAATAATTAGCTGAGTGTGGTGTTGCATGCCTGTAATCCCAGCTATTTGGCAGGCTGAGGCAGGAGAATCGCTTGAACCCGGGAGGCGGAGGTTGCAGTGAGTCGAGATCGCACCATTGCACTCCAGCCTGGGCAACAAGAGCGAAACTCTGTCTCAAAAAAAAAAAAAAAAAAATCTTTTAACTGTGTTCTGCACACACACACAGAATTACAAAATCCCTATAGGACTTTCACAGATAGCTTTGGGCTTAAGGTCTTCAGACAGCAGGTAGTTCTAATTTCTTACTCTCTGGGACATTTAGTACATGTTGGTACACATAAGGAAAGAAAATGACTTATATTAGAACTAGGAAACAGGGGCAGCCTGGATTTTTATGATAGGGACTCACTCTGTGCTTTTTTTTTTTTTTCTATTAAGTTTTCTTGACACTGACATTGGTAACATTGGCTAAAGGGAATTGTGAGTCATGTGAATTTCGCCTGCAGTGCAGACTTTAATGGACTGTGTTCATTCTGATTTGGAGATGAAGAGAATGTTCCATGCACATCTGTTGATTGGTCTTGGCAGTTGCTGATATACTTGTCTCATTCACACTCCCAAAGGCGAGGATTTACACTGGAAATTATAAACCCTCACTTTCCAAAGCAAAAATACTGTTAATTTTATGATGGTGCATAAATACCTCAACTGTCTGGGCTGAGAGAGGGGGCTGCAGGTTTTTAAGAGAGCAGCTATAGTCCTCATTCCATGTAGTCACACCATCTGATGACAGGACTCCACATTCTAGCTTTTCTCACTGTGGAAAAGAAACGTTACTATTTAATTCATATCCAAAGTTATAAATACAGCCTGTAAATTTTACTAACTTGTTTATTTTTTGTTTGGTCCTTGAGAAGTACAACTTGCATTTGCAGATGGTAATTCCTAGTGTTGTTCTCTGCTATATTTTTTTTTTTGGTATGAAATTGCTGTATTTGTTAAAGTTTGTTCGTTTTGTGGTTTTTAATTCCCATTGGTGCACTGTACAATGTAGTGTATCATGAAGAAAGAAATAATATACAGATGTATTATGAAATGTGTTTTATTTTCAAATGTGTGGTGTTGACAATAATATTGATTTATCAAGATACTAAGGGAAAATTCGAAATTTAACAAAATGTGTATATTTTAATAAATGCATAAAGCTTTATTGTGTGCCTTTAAATTTAAAAATGGGTTTATAAAGAAAGTCAGAAACAAAAGTGTCTTACTATAACATATCCATAGTAATGTAAAGCTTTTACACAAGAGACTACCAAAAAAAAGAAAGAAAAGAAAAAGGAACCTTCCCATATTTTGTTAACCTTCACCAAAACCTGAAGTCTGTTACTTTTTTCCATTCTTAAGTGGAGATGAATAAGTGAATTTCGCCTTAAGTGTTTCAATTGTCCTTTGTAGAAAAGCCAGATAAATGAGCTCATTTTGAATTGCATTATTGTGGAAAATTCATTTTCAGAATAAAACATTTTAAAAATTTAAATCGACTAATAAAATTTAAATTTGAAGAAAGTCAGTGCCATCCTACCTCTTTAAATTTACTTTACTTCCATGAGGAGAACATGAAAGTTACACTTTAGTGGGCTCTCAGGAGAACCTGATGTAGCACTGTCTCCCTCTCATGTTCTTCTAACAAGGGTACCTTCTGTTAGGGACCGTGCTCACTACACTGCCTCATTAATTACCCTACTCCCGGTACAGTCCTACTCAAGCCACAGCCCCCCACACCTTCTGCACCATCTTACATCTAATACAGAACATTCAGTTCATTGCCCCCATTTATTTTAAAGAACAATTAGAAGAACAGTACCTGCCTACAGTCTCAAACCAAATTACCATAGCATTGATGGTGGCTTAATTGATCTTACTTGATGGTGCAGGTGGTGATACCTGGAGAAAAAGGTAGAGGGTGTAGCAGGGCCACATATTTTCCATATCACATGGGATGCAAAGACAATGTCATCTCTTTATTTCCTGCAACTCAGTGATCTCCCTTGCAACAGTCCACCTGCCTGGATAGCAGGGGAAGAAAAACAACCCATAAATGTATTAATGTTTTATACATAAATGTATTGTGTAATCATGTCTTAAACGATTAAGGTATGATGGAATCCCAGTTGATTTCCATTTAGTGGTTTTAGATGGGTGAGTCCCTTTGGGATAAGTTCTCAGTCTTTTGGATTTCCTCCCCTCCTCCTTGCTTCTCTCCAAATGACTTCTGGAAACAGAGCTTCTGTGATCTCATAAGTAGAGGGGTGCAGATGAGAACTAGGGTGCTCTGGACCCTTAGCCACTGTTCCTGCAGAATAGCTACCTGGACTGCCCCTGGACAGTCCACTGAGGAGAACCTGGCCCATCCAGCCATGTGGGCTTCGTGATGACATTCACTTTCAAAGTCTGCAGGGTTGGCACTGAACCCAGTTATGAAGTTCCTGCACAATGATGCCTCTTCCCTCAGGCTCCAGGCCTGGGCTGACCCACCGAGCCCTCAGCACTTTAGAATCCATTGCATGTCACCCTGAGTCTTGGGGAACCAGGATCACCACCTTAGGCTCGAGTATCCAGCCACTTCCTTCACTAATAATACACGTTCATTCCTGAGCTCTGCTTATTGAGACTTGGAGCCAATGATGCGCTGCAGCTGGCTCGTGAAAATGATTGGTAACTTACGACTTTTGTGAGTCAGTTGCTAAATGCAACATTATTAAAACTTAAGCTCTATAAACTTACAAATAAATTAATTACAATGAAAACAAAGGCAATAAATACTCAAAACTATTTTACTATGTTTTACTATTATCTATGCTCTCGAGGTTATTGTATCTGTATGGGGGAAACACTATATAATGACGAGCTATTGCACATCTCTTCCCAACTCTGTGTTTAGTGAATTCACATCGGTAGCTTGAAATCAGCCATAGTGGAAGAATTTACACTATGGGAATTGGAAAATGCTACAAAATCGGATCTGTTTTTCTCTCTCAGAGAGCTGGCTGTAAACATTTACCAGCACATCACTGCTTACATCCTTTCCAACTACATATACCATAACCCCCAACATACAATGTTTTCAGGATATCTCACTCCTACCATACCTCCACCCACAGAGGAGGGGAAGCCTGGACAAGGATTTTTCCCCCTCTGTTCTACCTCTATTTCTCTTCCCCTGCCCACTATCCATCAGGACCAGCAGGGGCTGGGTTTCCACTCTTCGTTCCTTCTGACAAGGACTCCCTCTACATATTATCTTGCGTATGTCCTTCTGGGGACAATAGTCTTGTAACTGGTGAAAGAATTGCCCTTTTTTTTTTTTTTTTTTCCATGGAAGAGACTACAAATAGTATCCAAGAGGAGTCGCAGGACAATCTAGAAGTAGGGATTACCAGGATAAAAAATAATTGGATTAATATTCCAAAATACAACCTTATTACATGGGTCTTAAAATTAAAAGATTATTCAATAACAAGTATTGGGGAGGATGTGAAAAAATTAGAACTGTTGTGTACTGATGGGAATCTAAAAGGGTATAAACTCTATGAAAAACAGTATGGCAGTTCCATGGCCGGGCACAGGGACTCACACCAGTATTCCCAGCACTTTGGGAGGCTGGGACGGGCGGATCACTTGAGGTCAGGAGTTTGAGACCAGCCTTCCCAACACGGTCAAACCCCATCTCTACTAAAAATACAAAAATTAGCCAGACGTGGTGGTACACACTTGTAATCCCAGCTACTTGGGAGGCTGAAGTGGGAGGATTGCTTGAACTTGGGAGTTTGAGGCTGCAGGGAGCTGAGATTGTGCCACTGCACTCCAGCCTGGGCAACAGAGTGAGACTCTGTCTCAAAACAAAACAAAAACAAATAAAAAAGAAACAGTGTGGCAGTTCCTCAAAAAATTCAACGTATAATTACCATATAATCCAGTAATTCCATGTCTGTGTATATATCTAAAAGAATTGAAAGCAACATTTCTAAGACTATTTGTACACCCATGTTCATAACAACGTTATTCACAATAGCTAAAACATGAAAACAACTCAACAGTCCACCAATGAGTGAATGGATAAGCAAAATGTGACCTAGACATACAATGGAATATTCAGCTTAAAAAGGAAGGACATTCTGACATATGCTATAACATGGATAAACTTGGAAAACATTATGCTGAGTGAAATAAGCCAATCAGTCAAGCTTGGTGACTCACACCTATAATCCCAGCACTTTGGAAGGCTGAGGCTGGTAGATTGCTTGAACCCAGGAGTTCGAGATCAGCCTGGGAAATATGAGGAAACCCAGTTTCTACAAAAAAATACAAAATTTAGCTAGGAATGGTGGTAATCCCAGCCTGTAATCCCAGCTATTCAGGAGGCTGAGGTGGGTGGAACCCTTGACCAGCCTAGGCAACATGATAACCCCATCCATACAAAAAAATATGAAAATTAGCCAGGTGTGGTGGCAGATGCCTGTCGTCCCAGTATTCAGGAGGCTGAGGTGGGAGGATCGTTTGAGCCTTGGTGCCCAAGGCTGCAGTAAGCCATGATTTTGCCACTGCACTCCAGCCTGGGCAACAGAGCAAGACACTGTCTCAAAAATAAATAAATAAATAAATAAATACTTTCACAAACTATGCATCCAGCAAAGGCCTAACATCCAGGTTCTGGAGATTTCTCAAAGAACTTAAAACAGGCCAGGCACAGTGGCTTACTCCTGTAATTCCAGCTCTTTGGGAGGCTGAGGCAGGTGGATCACTTGAGGTCAGGAGTTCGAGAACAGCCTGGCCAACATGGTGAAACCCCATCTCTAAAAATACAAAAATTAGCCAGATGTGGTTGCACACATCTGTAATCCCAGCTACTTGAGAGGCTGAGGCAGGAGAGTCACTTGAGCCTAGGAAATGGAGGTTGCAACGAGCCAAGTCACACCACTACACTCCAGCTTGAGCAACAGAACAAGACTCTATCTCAAAAAAAAAAAAAAAAAAAAAAAACAGAGCTACCATTCAACCCAGCAATCCCATTACTGGGTATATACCCAAAAGAAAATAATCATTCTACCTTCTGCCAAAAAGACACATGAACTTATACGTTCATCACTGCACCATTTATAATAGCACAGACATGGAATCAACCCAGGTGCCCATCAATGGTAGATTGTATAAGAAAATGTGGTACAGATATACCATGGAATACTATGCAGCCATAAAAAAGAATGAAATCATGTCCTTTGCAGCAATATGGATGCAGCTGGAGGCCATAATCTTAAACAAATTAACATAGGAACAGAAAACCAAATACCACATGTGCTCGCTTATAAGTGGGAGCTAAACACTGAGCACTCATGGATATAAATATGGGAACAATAGTCACTGTGGACTACTTGGGGGTGCAAAAGAACTACCTATAGGGTGCCATGCTCACTACCTGGGTGATGGAACCCATCCTCCAAACCACAGCATCACGCAATATCCCCATGTAACAAAGCTGCACATGGACCCCTGTATCTAAAACAAAAGTTGAAATCTTAAAAAATAAGAAATATTTATTCCATTAAAAATTCAGGACATCTTCATAAGCCAAACAGTTCTTCCACATTTTATTTCCAGCTATCAACAGTTCGCTGACTGGTAAAGAGAGCCCTTTCTGTGCCAAATTCTCTTCCACTTCTTTCCCCACCTGAGTTGAGGATAGGTCCTTCCATTCTCTCATCAACCTCAATCAAATCCAGGGCAGAAAAAACACCCAGCTCTGAGGCTCAGAGAGAAAACCACGTGCTCCCATGTCTACAACCTAAAAATTCAAACTTTCCGAGCTTTTATTATATGTATGTGTTAGCCTGATGCTTACCCATCAGAGCCATGCAGAGTGTTTTTAGGAAGGAATGAGCCCTTTGTAGGTCAATTAACGCGATGAGATAAGCATTGCAGCAGGCTTTCCTTCAGAGAGGGGAAATACGAATGATTTGTGACTCTAATTAACTTCAAACAGAGCAACAGGAATGCAATTTGGAACATAATCCAAAGGGGAAATAGTCCATCCCAATTCAATTCTGGTGGCTGGAAGACTGATTTAATTTCCTTCCTAGTGGAGACACTCCTCACAGGGTGGGATGGGGAGGAGCGAGGGGTTTCCTGGTCACAGGATTTCCCTGTTTCATGAAGTTCTATTTCCAAAGCAGCCCCTTTCATGTACTGGGATTAAGTTTAAGATGTGGATGCAATGTCCTTGGCTTCCTCACTCACCATGTCAATCTTGTAAGAGAAGGTGGAGATTGGATTAGCCAACGTTGGTGGAAAGGGCAGGGAAGGAGATGTCCTCCAAGGATGCTTCCATAGCAAGCTGTGAGCCTTGAGGAGCAGCAGAAGAAAGCACCTCTGCTCTATCTGCTCTCTGATGCCAGAAATTCCTCCATTGGAAACAAAGTCTGGCGTTCCTCAATAAGGAGACTGTTAAGTGCTTTCACAGTTAACTCCCCCTGGAAGAAGGAACACAGCGTCTTAATTCACCCACGTTGAGATATGAACGACTGACATCATCAGTTCCTTCTGAGAAAGCAGGTTTTCACAAGCCATGAGAAAAAAACTATTCTGAGGTCCCTGGGTGCCTGAGAGGGAGTTAAGGGGACTCCAGTACAGAAGGGAGAGGCCAGGGTCCCAAAGACGCACTTCACAGCTTCTCCCCAAGATAGCTCTAAATACAACAAGGGCTGGAAGACACCATAAACGTGCCCTGAAGTGAAGCCCGCAAGGACCACTCTGACGGGAGAGATGGCGGCCGGGAGCTAAGAGGCTCGGACTTAGAAAAAGAGACCCAGCTCGCCATTGCTATCTATGTAAATGCAGGCAAGACGGAAGGGTAGTGAACGTGCTCTCCTGCTTCCTGCTGCAAGCTGGCACCTAGTGCGGAGCCTGGGACACAAGAGGCACTGAATAAATATTTCCTGAAGGAGTGAATACATGGAAGTTAAGTTTTCCTGCCGGGTACAGTGGCTCACGCCTGTAATCCCAGCACTTTGGCAGGCCGAGGCAGGCGGATCACCTGAGTGAGTTCCAGACCAGCCTGGCCAACGTGGTGAAACTTCGTCTCTATTAAAAATACAAAGCTAGCCAGGCGTGGTGGCGGGCGCCTATAATGCCAGCTACTCAGGAGGCTGAGCCAAAAAAATCGCTTTAACCAGGGAGGCGGATGTTGCAGTCAGCTGGGATAGCACCATTGCACTCCAGCCTGGGGTGACAAGAGCAAAACTCTGTCTAAAAAAACAAAAGTTAAGTTTTCCCTCAGCATCCAGACACCCTCAGTATGCTCCCGCCAAAGCAGAGAACAATTTCAATCACTCTGTTTAAATATTCAACAGTTCTATCTGAAAGATTTCAGATCTTTCGAATCACTTTTAGAAAATGATCCTAAGAAAATAAATCACCAGATTTATTTATCTATAACTACAGGGGAAAAATACCAAAAAAATTTGAAATCGACTTAATGCCCCAAACTAGAAATTGTTTAAATTAATTATGGTGTATCTATAAAACTCAATACTGTATAGCCATCTAAAAACAAGTTTTCAAAGAATGTTTAATGACATGAGGAATGGTAATTATGTTAAATTTTAAAAGCAGGATGCAAAGTGTATATTTAGTATATATTTAGTTTTGAATAAGTATGTGTATTTTATATAGCATAGAAAAATATTTGGAAAAAGATTATATAAAGTGTTAATGATTGTTACCTCTAAAAATTCTGATTTGGGGTGGTTTTGCATTTTCTTTTTTATACTTTTTTATTTTCTCTAGGTGTTCTTCAAAGCATATTTTACTTTTCTAATCAGAAATAAAAATAATCTTTATTTCTTATGGCAGAAGGGCCTTTTAGAATATTTGTCATGTTCTCACTGACAAACCAAGAAGGCCTCCTGGCACCTCTTTCCAAACAATGACACAGATAATAGAAGCTATCCTCTCAAGGCCACACCATACACAGGCCACTCTCTCTACATGGCATATATAGGTTTAGGATGCTTATATTCTGTCAGCAGAAGGAATTCACACTCAGAGTTCATTGGCTTGGATGTTTGGCCTACATACATACTGGTTTTAGATGGAGTGTTTTTTTTTTTTTCAGGATGTAAGTATGATTTCATCATTTCACACATATAAATTCTCAGGAAGAAAAGTATATTGGGGGTTCTGGAAAGATGGTCACCTTAATGATAGCATAGAATACCATATCTATAGGCCAGCCTTGAACTTAGATGTCCTTGATCTCTGAAGAATGTCATAACACTGCCTTATTCGTAACATAGTGCTACAACATAAACCCCAAACATATTGTTAAAGACTAAATACTAGTGTGAATTTGTTCCAGATGTCAAAGTTTTCCAGAAAATTACAATTTTAAAGGACAAATGCATATATTCGTGTATTTCATTGTAAATATTCAGCTTAATTGTTCCACCAAGTTTGGGGATACCACTTGCCATAAAGGCCAATAATTATTTGTTAAATTAGATTGAACAGAATTTTATCCACATCTACCAAAAATGTAATTATTTATAAAATGTGTATATGGTTCATTTGTAAATGAAATATATCCTTCGCTAAGGTCATTTCTCCACTTAAAATCTTCAGTGGCTCCCTGCTGTCAACAGACCAAATTCCCTCACAGCCCGCATGGCACCCAGCTCTCCAGGCTTGTGTCTGCCCCTCCCCCAGGCATCCTATATCCTGACCTCAACCAACAACTCAGTGTTTCCTGAGCACATTCTCTTTTCTTGTGTCTTCTTGAATGTCCTTGGCCCACTTGTTGGTTCAGCATACTCCTATTTATCCTTCAAGTTCTTCTCAAAAGTATCTCCTCTCTTTTGACTTTCTGGAATTTGCCCTCTGTCTCCCTTCTTCCCCCACAAGTTCCCATAGCATTCATTTTTTCATGTACGTAGCATTTACATGTTGAATACAGTTATTGGTTTATATGTCTCTCTGTCTCTTCCCCTGTGGATCAGAAGCTTCCAAAAAGATACAAAAAAGAAAATATTCTTTTAATTCTGAAAATGTTTTTGATCTCAGGATTAAGAAAAATTAAGCCTCATATTTAATATGTAAGGCCTAATTTGTATCGTATTGTATTGTATCATGGAGTTTACTATGGATTTAGATGGAGTCACATATTTATCAGAGCATCCTTCTGTGGTCTGATGACCATGTGGGTCATCAGGTGCTCCCGAGGATAGAGGGTCCTCATCAATGAGGAGGGATGGGCAGTGCCACTCTCACTCTTCATTTGAGGTATGATAGTTGGTAGATTATAAATGCCCATTTAAGTAGCTATTTACATTGCATTATCTGTTTCTTCTAAACTAACCCCATAAAAATGAACTAGTCATTTTAAAAGATTCCTGCAAAGACATCATAAAATAGCCATTGCAGTGAAAACAGTGAAGCCAAAAGTACAAAAGTTTGCCATGTAACAAGAATTTAAAAACAAAATAAGGCCAGGCATAGTGACTCACACCTGTAATCCCAGCACATTGGGAGGACGAGGCAGGTGGATCACCTGAGGTCAAGAGTTCAAGAACAGCCTGGCCAACATGGTGAAACCCCATCCCTACCAAACATAAAAAACTATCCAGGTGTGGTGCAGGGTGCCTATAATCTTAGCTACTTGGGAGGCTGAGGCAGGAGAATCGCCTGAACCTGGGAGGCAGAGGTTGCAGTGCCACTGCACTTCAGCCTGGGCGACAGAGTGAGACTCCGTCTCCAAAAAAATAATAATAATAATAAATAAATAAATACATAAATAAATAAATAAATAAAAGCACTGTTAACTGTGATTTTATGAGAAATAATCTGTGAACTCATGAGAAAGCAATTGCTTTTCAAAGGAAATGAGTTCTATGGAGAGACCATTTTGAGCAAAGATATTTGGACAGGTATATTATCTTATTAATGAAAATATTATGTGTCATCCATAAAAATAGTCCTATCATATATACAGAAAACTTAGAATTTTTAAACCTGGTTAAGTAATCTTACAAATCAAGAGTCTCCATGGGCTTTCAAGCCATTTAGAAATGCAAAAATGCAGCCGGGCACAGTGGCTCACACCTGTAATCCTAGCACTTTGGGAGGTCGAGGCAGGGAGATCATCTGAGGTCCAGAATTTGAGACCAGCCTGGCCAACATGGTGAAACCCCATCTCTACTAAAAATACAAAAAGTAGTTGGGTGTGGTTGTGTGTGCCTGTAATACCAGCTACCTGGGAAGCTGAGGCAGGAGAATTGCTGGAATCTGGGAGGTGGAGGCTGCAGTGAGCCAAGATTGCGCTGTTGCACTCCAGCCTGGGTGACAGAGCGAGACTCCATCTCAAAAAAAAAAGAAAAAGAAAAAGAAATACAAAAATGCAACATATTCTGATTAGCTTGCAAGAACAACTGAAAGGCATCAAGGAAAATGGAGAAACTACTGCCAAATTTTAATGTAAATCTGCAAAATTTTTAATATAAATCTTTGCATTATACCCTTTGACACAGGATATAATGATATGATTATGTATTTCTGCTGTATGGTTCTGTGTATCCATACGAGATTTTTTTTTTCAGCTAAAGCAGCCACTGAAACCAAGTAATAAAATTCACTGAACTAAGAATCAGACTTTTGAATGTTTTTATCTCAAATATTAAATAATGAAGTAGGTTCAAATATTGATTTCACTAAAATGTTATGACTAACAAAAAAAGAAAAAAGTTTGTGTCATTAATAAATAATATGAAATAAAATTAAAATATTTCATTTTTTCTTATTCTTTAACTTTTTGTGTACATTTTATGCTGTACATGATACTACAGTTGCACATCTGTATAAACAATTAAACATATGTATGTACATTTATTGCCAGAGGAGATAGTTAATAAAAGTTTGCAGAATGAGAATCTTCTTATAAGATCTGATAGTATAGATATAAAAATGGCATGAGTCCTATACAGAAAATGTGAAGAAAGATATAAAAAGGGGGGAGTGGGGAGAGAAAAAGAAGCTGTTGGGAGGCTATGGTCTATTTATTTTATAATAATCAAAGGGAGAGAAATCCTCTCTAAAAATTTTGGTGGCCTAACATTTAAGCTACACTACTGGTTAAAAGACAAAAATGTGGAATTATCTATCCATATAAGAAAGTATATTAGAGAAGAATTATATCTTGAAGTTTAGTAGCACTTTCTAGCAAACTCTCAAGATCTGATCACTAAAAACTAAATTCACTTGACAGAACAAAGGCACATTCTAGTATCTTCCCTAAGAACACACTAATTTGAATTCATGTATACGATGAATTCCATTAAGTTTCTAAAAAATGCCCAGCTGGTTTTTGGAAAAAAAAAAACATAGATGGAAATTAGAGGCATTGTTATCACTTATATAGCAATTTAGTGCTTTGAAAATGAGATGGAAACATGTTTTGTTTTCTTCTCACACATCCTGTGGAACTTTTGTTTCCACTGAACAGGTTAGAAGGCGGATGCATGTGAAGCTAATCCACTTACTGTTGTACCCATATCTTCAGTTGCCCACAAAATATTTTACCTCAATTCTTCAGTAAAACTTGAATCTTAAAAACTGCTCTTTTTAGGTGCTGGAATTCATTTAATGACCTAATGAGATGAGGAGAGCAAATCTGGTGGCAACCAAATGAACTATGGATGGGGCAAAGGGACAGGAGACAATTTGAGAACAAATAAAAAGAAAAACAACTTTCACCATGGAGGGTAAACACATGGAACTTGTTAACTTCAAGTGACAGTGCCAGCTGAAACATTCTGGGGTTCAAGGAGGGTTCAGAGGCATTCATGGAGAACAACTCTCTAACAGGCTACGAAATGAAAGTTGGATTTGTTCCGGAGACAATGCCTGGCTTTGGAGGTGGCCCTCCAGGAGGACACTTACCCAATCCTTCTCCCCATCAGGAACACAGCAGCTACCCCGGCCTGACACAGTGCGAGATTCTTTTGTCCTTATCGTGACATCAGAAATAAATTCCAAATCCGAATACACAGAAGGAGTCTTTGATG